AAAAGGTACATATATGTACCTTGAGATCCAACCTCCAGTGTTAATTTAACTCTCCTGGGAGTTTATATGACTCCAGACTCAAGAGTGTTAAAGTGTTAAAATATGAGTGTTCAATTAACACTCAAGAGTGTTAAAATTAATGACCTAATTAAGTGATTCATTGAGGGATGATTGACCATTATTGAAGACACCTGATGTTAACAAGCAGAATCACTGAAGGAGAAAATATCGTTTTTTAAGACACCGTTATGGTGATCAGTGTTTGCTCTAGTTGGGCTCTTGACCCCTAAATCATTAATTTTAGATTTTGTTTGGCTGTTGTATCTGAGCTATAACTGCCAGATGAACAAAGAGAAAAGGTGATCAGGTCGTGTTGATCATGTTTTGACATAATCATAATTTGCCTGAACCACTGAACTCATTTAGAATCTAATCTCAGACTTAAATGTATATTGTTGATTACAGCAGCCTGTGATTCCACAGCAAATGATTTCCAGCATTTTCAATATAATCCAAAATATTTCTTAAAATTTGTTCTGATCAAAAGACTTTAAATTTTTTTTTTATGTAGACACACTGACATCAATAATCAGCCTATGAATCTCAACAATGGTGACAATAATAAAGCATGTTGCAGGGCATTCTGGGTGCTACCAATCAAAACTCATTCATGGCTCTCATCATGCATTGCGGTATGAATAAATTATGATCCGAATTGTTTTACTAATTTTCTTTCCCTAATTGTATATTATTTTTGTCACCATTGTTGAGATTCATACACTGATTCTTGATGTCTGTGTGTGCCTAAAATAAAGATTTGTTTTATTAGAAAAACTTAAGAAATCCTTACGATTAGAAAATTCTGGATCTCATTCTGTAGAATCACAGGCTGCTGTAATCAACAATGTACATTTAAGTCAGAGATTAGACTTTAAATGAGTTCAGTGATTCAGGTCAAATTATGATTGTCAAAACATAACCAACACCACCTGACCAACGTTTCTCCTTGGTTCATCTGGCAGTTATAACTCAGATACAACAGAGAAAAAAATATAATATTAACAATTTAAGGGTCAAGAGCCCAACTAAAGCAAACACTGATCACAATAACGGTGATTTTGTTTTCATCCTTCAGTGATTCTACTTGTTAACATCAGGTGTCTTCAATAATGGTCAATCATCACTCAGTGAATCACTTAATGAGCTCATTAACTTTAACAATCTTGATTGTTAATTTAACATTCATATTTTAACACTTTAACACTCTTGAGTCTGGAGCCAAATAAACTCCCAGGAGAGTTAATTCAACACTGGAGTTTTTGCTGTGTTATAATGATTTAATATCAGTAAATTGACTTACAAAACTTTTATTTCCTTTATTTCAAGGCTACTTAAATATAGTGATAAGTTAAAATCTACCTTAAATGATTAAGGTATCCTTAAAACCTTAAAAAAATAAAATAAAATTTTTACAAAAGAAAATTTACTTAGCAGAGGCTGTCTTTTGATATGGTACCTTAACCTTTAAAAGAAACGATATATATATGTACCTTTTAATGCTTGGGGACATATATGTACCTTTTTGACCCTCAAAAAGGTACATATATGTACCTTGGGGGACAGAAATGGACTCCTACTGTACCCCTATTTCTGACAGTGTACGGCTGCCAAACAAAAACCATAAAATTAAAGTAAAATCTTCTAATTCAAATAAAACAAAAAAACACTGTTATTTCACAGGTATTTCCTGCATTATTATGATCATATACCTTCATTTTAAAAAAATCGTAAAAAAAGGGTCAAATGACTGGCAGCTACGGCTGCCAAACAAAAACCATAAAATTAAAGTAAAATCTTCTAATTCAAATAAAACAAAAAACACTGTTATTTCACAGGTATTTCCTGCATTATTATGATCATATACCTTCATTGTAAAAAAATCGTAAAAAAATGGTCAAATGACTGGCAGCTACGGCTGCCAAACAAAAACCATATAATTAAAGTAAAATATCCTAATTTAAATAAAGTGTAAAAAACTTTAATAGAAATGTGATGTCACCATGATTGAGATCAGTGTTTGCTTTAGTTGGGCTCATGACTCTTGAGTTTCAACATTACTTTTTCTCTGGTTGCTTTAATTGTGTTTTGATGCACATTTATTATGGCAATAATTGCAAGAGAAAATATAAGATGATCTTGGTCATTTATTGATGATTTTATAGTCATCATATGATGATCTGATTCATTGATATGACAGTCAAATCTCTATTGGCTGTAAATACAATATATATAGATGGACTTTAGTGTTATACTAAGTTATACTTTTTTTCACATGATTTGTTGAAATATTGTGGGATCAGTATTAATGCAATCTCAAATAAAAAAAATTATATATTCTACATATTTTTTTTTGAGTTGGCTTATTTTGTTAGGAGTATGGAGACATCAAAAATCAACATATGAATCTCAACAATGGTGACAATCAACAAAGCCTTTTTGTGACTTTTTCTTTCATTTTTTTTATTGTCACCATTGTTGAGATTCATACGCTAATTCTTGATGCCTGAGTGAGTCTGTATGATCCTGTCAAAACATTTTTTGCATAATGACTTCATAAAATCTTATATCAAAGCATTGTAGGACCTTCTATAGCAATACTGGCATTCTAAATTAACAATTAACATTTTACAACTTCTTCAGTCATTAAAAAGTCATAACAATCAGGTGGTTTCAATACAGCAGACAACTGCTTGATGAATATTATCACTATTAAGTGACCAACATCATCTGATCTGAGTTTCTCTCGATTTCCTACAATAACAAATATGCACCAAAGACATGCACAGTTAAGAGAAAAACTAATGTTAATATATGAAGGGTCAAGAGCCCAACTAAAGCAAACACTGACCTCTATCATGGTGACATCAAACTTTATTATTTTCAATAAAATATCAACTTCTAAACCTCTGTTATTTCTCAATAGGAATGTTAGTATGAAAGAAGTCTGGATTGTAATAAGTGGAGATGCTGAGATCTTGAGAGATCTGTTAGTGTTTAATGTTCTGCTGGGATGTAAAGTGTTTCTGTATGGTGTGTTTTGTGTGTCACCATTGTGTTGAAGAGTAGAGCCTGAGCTTCAGTCCAGGATGAGCAGAGAAACACTGATGAAATGTTGTGTGTTGCTTTATTTAACAGACAGTAACTGTGTAGTTGCTGATGACATATACTCAGTAAATCATGTGTGTAGTTTATAGCAAGATATTTACTTTTTACAGTGAATATGTTTTTTAGTAAAAATTCAGTAAATATATATATATATGTGAAAGAACAGTGTTTCTGTTCAAAAGCTTAATGAAGATTTCTGCAATAGTATTTATTATTTAAATTAGGATATTTTACATTCATTTTATGGTTTTTGTATGGCAGCCATTGCTGACAGTCATTTTACCTTTTTTTCACAGTGAAGGTATTTGATCATAATAATTCAGGAAATAACTGTAAAATAACACTGTTTTTCTGTAAATCATTTAAGGACAAAGTTTGGAAAAGTTTTTTGCACTCAATTTAAATTAGGATATTTTACTTTATTTTTACGGTTTTTGTTTGGCAGCAGTAGCTGCCAGTCATTGACCTTTTTTTACGATTTTATTTTTTACAGTGTAAATTACAGCAACACCTCCCCCTTTGCCTTTCATACGAGGTTCATGTTTATAACAGCACTCATTTAAAGTAATGTAATCGTTTGGTTTTAGCCAGGTTTCTGTCAAACACAGCACATCTAGGTTATAGTCTGTAATCGTATCAGTAACTATGAGCGCTTTTGAATTAAGGGATCGAATATTCAACAACCCAAGCTTTATTGTTTGCTCATCTGTATTATATCTGTTTTTTATTTGTTGAACATCAATTACTTTTTTAACCTTAGAAAGGTTTGGCAGTTTTTTGGATTTCTAAATTCAGGGCGGCGTGTTAACAGGCTAGCGAGATACTAGCGTGTTGTGCTAACAATAACGGAAGCTAGCGATGTTAGGTAAGTCTGAGATGTTAGGTAAACTGTAATTAGTAGTATAAACAACTAGAAATGATATTAAATTATGGTTCAAAACAGAAAGAAATACGAGGCTTAGACGGCGCTTACAGCCTCGGAGCAAACACACTCACACAGCAGGCAGCGAGGTAGACAGGAGCAATCGATCAAGCAGGAGCACTTTAATGATGGATGGATGCAATTTGATCGACTTCAAAACAGAAACGGCCATTCACTGCCATTATAAAGCTTGGAAGAGCCAGGAAATTTTTTATATAACTCCGATTGTATTCGTCTGAAAGAAGAATGTCATATACACCTAGGATGACTTGAGGGTGAGTAAATCATGGGCTAATACATTTTTTTGGGTGAACTATCCCTTTAACAGCAGGTGTTCATCACTAATGTACAATCATCACTTAATTATCTCATTAACTTTAACTCTGAGGGCCTGTTTACACGACACCGTTTTCAACTAAAAATTTAAAACATTTTATGCGCTTAGGCGTTTTGGGCGCCTGGAAACGGAAACTTTTGAAAACGGGTTTCAAAGTGCAAGTTTTTTGAGAACGGTCTCCGTGTAAACAAGACGTCATGCACATGCGTATTACGTGTTCAGTCTACAGTGTTTCATCGCCATCTACTGGCTTGGCATCAGAATACAGCCTTTTTAGCTGTTTTCGTGGATCCGTGTGAATGGGGATCGTTTTAACAATGGTGTCGCCTGTACGCGGCAAACTCAAAGGAAAAACTAAGCATTAGTTTTAAGCATTTCGTTGTCGTGTAAACGTACCCTGATTCAGAGTTACTTTAACACTCTTTAGAGTGGGACCATATGTGCTCTAAACAGAGTTAATTTAACTTTGATTTTGCCAAAGACAGCAAACAGAGAAAAAATAAGTCCATTTGACAATTGCGGTTCGGCAAACTTTTATTAAATATATTGTGCACCATTCATTCTGCTGTTCATTATTTTGTAACCAAAATAATATGGCAATAAATACATTATACAGTTTATTCAATTCTGTACAATCCAAGGCAAGCGGGTGAAGCTGTTAGTTGATGTTTCCGTCCACGTATCGTAATAATGTCCCTGATGTTGTCTGTATGCTACAAACAAACACACACACACACAAAACAATAATTAGTCATCACATTACAACTCAAATCTACTGTTTTATACAGCGCTCTTACCATTCTACTAACTCTGCTCCAACTATATCATGAATGTGATACTTCATCTGAAATTTAACATGTGAAGTTGTGCGGCGTCCCTCAAGTTCAGTCTTCAGGATTTCACCGTATCTGGATTTCTTCACCATGCCAAGAACAGCTTTGCGCCCTGTTATAAAATCGGATATAATGCAGTAGCAATAGTTAAAGCGCTGATCGTGAGTCTTGTGGTAAACACACCTACCCCTGATGAAGTACTTAATGAATTTGCCAGAGTTTGGGATTGAGAGCCACCAGCTGCCCGCGTCCCTCACCGTGAGGACGCCCGACTTCACCAGCTGCCTGCAAGCCATAAACCATCTTTAGATAAAGTGCCTGAGACAATGGCTGCGTTTCCACTGTCGGGCCAAAAACGGGCGTTCTAGGGGCAGGGGTGCCAGGGGCAGGGATGCCAGGGGCATTCGCGAACCCAAGCTCACAACTCTGTCGAGTTTGCACTTTAACTTCCGGGGCTTGATCGGGCCTTGTCTAGGGCTGGGTATCGTAACAAAATGTTCGATACCGATACCTTGACGATACTTTTTTTGATACCAAATTTATGTAACCAGTTTTAACAATATAACATTACCTAATTTTTTTTTTTTTTTTTCAGTTTGTTGACTTTTTTACACTCATATTTTGAGTATGTAAAAAAGCATCAATGCTAAAGTTTTCTATGTTTCCTAATCATTTAACAACATGTATTCTTTACTTCAATGAGCTCATTGTTTCTGCCTTAACCTAATGCATTGTTTAACAATGAAACTGAATGGAAATTAATTGAAATGCATTACACTGTCACCTCTGATAACAGATCACTCTAAATTGTAATTTAGACACATGCATTTTCTGTAAAGCTGCTTTGAAACGATATGTATTGTGAAAAATGCTATACAAATAAATGTGAATTAAATTAAATATAGGCTACTGGGCGGGATATATGCCTCGCGCTCAGCACGTGAAGCTTGCCGCAAAGCACTGGCAAAAGTAGCCTAATGATTATGGATGTGGAAACAATAACAAGGAGATTTTAATTGTTTATTAATGAACAAGTGTTTACTAATGGTGTGTTCACACCGAACGCGAATTTAATTATTTGTGCGAGTAGATTACATACAAAGTCAATGCAAAGACGCGATTAGACGCATCATTCGCGCCGGGCGTCGCGAATGACGCGAATTTGGGCGACGCGTTTGCCGCGAACGTCTTCGGTGCAAGTTGAAAAATTTGAACTCGAGCGGAAGATTCAAGCGTCTAACTAGACGCGATAGACGCTCTATTCGCCTTCCGTGTGAACACACCATTACTCTCAAGTGTATTCTGTGCGCTTCTAAGTGCCTAATCAGATTTACCATGTTACCGTTCTTGGCGGCAATTATCTTGTCGTAAATATTGCATCGCGTGCTTCTGGCATCGAGTCTGGCACATAGGTACACTTTGGGTCATTTCCACATATTTTCTATCTAGGTTGGGACGCTTACACACACACACACACACACACACACTACAGCCTCACTTGCGACGAGCCACGTCTCTGGGCAGCCGCGTAAACTAGTGTTTTTCCGCCACAGCCAATCATACTGCATGCTTATTGTTCCACTGACGTTGACGAGATTAACAACATTTAGGTACTGAAATTTGGTACCGAAAAACAAGACATGTTTCGATACTCGGTAGTATCGAGGCATTTCGGTCGGTACCTAAAAAGTACCGAACTCGTACCCAGCCCTAGCCTTGTCAGGGCTCCTCGGGGCCAACGGCCAGGGGGTTTTGGCCTGCCAAATACCTTGGTCCAAAGCGGGCTTGAGGAGTGGTTGCAAACAGAGGCGGAGTTTACCTGAGTCAGGAGACGGCAGTGACGGATGATCCCATATATGAATGAATGCCTTTATTGTCATTGCATTTAAATACAATGAAATTATAGAGCCACTCTAGTAGGGTGCATCATTAAAACACATACAATATATAAAACATATCACACAACATATTAATTTTAAAACCCAATTTACCCACTTCCTATAGCCTGGATGCCAGCCCGAACCCCGCCCACAACATTTTTTGGTCGGGAAGTTCGGTCTGGACTCGCTCCATTGAGGAGTAATTATGATCAGTCAAAAAATGTTCGGGCCAATCAAATTGCCAGGGCGGGCTTTATACGATGATGGACAGATGATCTGCAGGGACGTAATCATCACGTTATCAAAGAGCGCTTAACTGGTTTCCCTCAGAGATGACTGCTGGAGAACTGAGATGTAGAGATTCTGCTATCGCGTCTGTTGTAAAAGAAATCGACAGCGCATTCATTTTAAAAGACGAACATAGAACTGCAATCAAGGCATTTGTCAATCGGAAAGATGGGTTTGCCGTCCTTCCTACGGGATTCGGCAAAAGTTTATTTTATCAGCTGGCTCCGATGGTCACTAAGAAGATGGGACGCAATGAAAACCCTGTGGTCGGTGTGGTTTCTCCTTTGGTCGCACTCATAGAGGACCAAGTAAAAGAAGCAACACTCATTATTTTACTTCTTCCAGCGTGCGTGCATTTGAGTTCTGTAGTTGACAACTGTGCTACGCAAAGTAGTGGACTTACTGCGTTGCTCTCATTGGTTGTAGGTCTATCCAATTGAGTGCAGAGTTTTTTTTTTCCTGGTTTGGTTAAGACACGCCTCATAATCAAAGCCCTATGGAGCAGTATCAGACTCACATTCTGACTAGAATATGAGTATGACAAAGTCAGGCTACACTTCCTACTAAGGGGCTAATAAATATTCTAATGTAACAAAGTGCTGAGTAGCTGTGCAAACTGCATCATTAAAATTAAAAAAAAAGTTTGGCTTCATTTAGGACTGTTATTGCTTCAGGAGAAAAGCTATTCCTAAATCTACTAGTCCTTGTTTTTTGACATCTGTAGCGTCTCCCTGAGGGTAACAGTTCGAACAGCGGGTAACCAGGGTGAGAACAGTCAGGTGCAATTTTGGTGGCTTTAGACAGCAGTCTTGAATTAGCAATTTCCTGTAGTGAGGGTAGGGGACAGCCAACGATCTTCTGTGCTGTGTTGATCACTCTCTGTATTCTTTTCTTGTCTGCTGCAGAGCATCCAGCGTACCACACAGTTACACAGTACACCAGGATGCTCTCTATGGAGGAACGGTAGAAAAGCACCAACAGCTTCTCAGATAGATTGTTTTTTTTAAGGAGTCTGAGGAAATACAGATGTTGTTGTGCCTTCTTTACCACTGCTGTGATATTGTCCGTCCATGTGAGTCGGTCCGAGATGAGGGTTTACCAGGAATTTAAAGTTTTGAACCCTCTCCACTAGGACACACATTATACCAGCTAACATCAGCTTTAAAGACTTTTAAAATCTTTTTAGCTCAAAACTTTCATGTTTGAATACCTTCTGTGTATACCCGATGTGGATTCTGATCACCGCATAAATATTTATGTGTGATGTAAAAGACTATGGGCAATAACCATTAGTAAACATGTGAAGAAATCAGACAAATCATATAGGCTATCACAATGGTGTATTTATTTTATCTGTGAGAACGTCTCGTCTCTTTATACCGGACTGTCTGATATCCACATTTAGCTCCACATGTCATAAAATAAACCAACTCCGGTTTTTCGAGAGCTTCCTCTGTTTCTCTGATTGAAAATATAACTATATTGGGAGAGAGTGCTAAAGCTCCTCAGGTCGTATTTTTGGTGGCATATTTGTAGAAATGATCATTCTTTCTAAATGTGATATAAACACACTGTCCTGTGACTAAATAAACAGAAACAGACTGAATAAGTAGCTACGGTTTTGTGAAAGTCCAGTCCAGTCTTGCGATCTCTCTGTTTCCAGTGATTTCTTTCTGATTAGTTTTCTGATAAAACTTCCATTTGTTGGTGAAATGAAGGGTTTGTGTGTCGTTGTTCCAGAGAGGTGTGTTACGGGTGGGTTTTAGTGAAGCGCTGAGGAGCTTCTGGCCCGACGGTGGAAACGCAGCAGGTTTTGGGCCCGGTGCTCCAGGTCCGAGGCTATTAGCCCCGCCCGGCCCGTTTACAGCCCCGGCTCGCACTGGCCCGACAGTGGAAACACGGCTAATGAACAACAAACCAGAATTTGTGTCCTTACGTGATCTCAGAGTCCGTGAAGAGGAACTCCTTCAGCATCTTTTCTTTGTTGAAGCTCAGATCGGAGCAGCCGGGAATTAGTTTATCCAGGAATTTCTCCACAGTTTCCAGTGTTTCTCTTCCGGCTTCGCCCTGCAGGACTTTGGCTCTGTAGTCTTCAGCAAACACCAGAGCGAAAGCCTCTGAGTCGAAGCCCAGCTGGAACATCAACAGCTCGCCGCTCACCCGCAACTCATTCTGAGCAGGAGAAACCAGTTGCAGAAACACTGTTAAGAGCTAGCATGACCAGCTAGCGGTTAGCCAAGGGGTAATCTGGTTACTTTTCGGATTCAAATTTGACAAATCAAAGAGTAACTTACTCAAACCTCATCATTGGGTCCTTTTGACCCGAACAATTTTTTTAAAAAGCTTTTAAAAATTGTTCATTAGAGGGGTCCAAGACCCTTGGACTTTTGTTGCACTTAAACCACGAATACACACAAAACAAATTAAATGGATTCGAGGAGTTTTGTGGTTGAAATGTAAAAAAGTAACAAATCATTGACTCTCGGGTCAATTTGACCCCCTTAGGAATAAATGGGATGCAAGGAATGCTTCAGTACACACAGACAACCCTAAAAATGCTCAAAATTCAAACTAAAAATGTTACTAAAATATTATTTATTTATTTATTTTCCACAAGAGGTCGGCAAAGACACCCAATGTAAGATATTTTGAGCTGAATTAAAAGGGTTATGCATGAAATTGTGTTATTTTGGATTTAAGTCGAAAGAATGTGAGGAATTTGCTCATAAATATATATATTTTTTATTTAAATTATGATTGTAACCGGTAGGTGGCTGCCATTTCCACTCCCAAATATTTATTTTTAATCGTTTTACTTTTGAATTATTATTTCGATCGACATTATTAATAAAATTGCTGCCCTCAAATGTTAATCCGGAGCCTTGCAAACTTAAAATAATACTGATATAAAATAAACCTTTGTTTATAACTAGCCTACTACAATATATGTTTAAAAAATGATAAGGAGCTGTTTTTGTTTTATATGCTAAGAAGACACCCCAGGAGATGGGTCAAGTAGCTCTATCATTGTTCAAAGTAAAAACAGATCAGACTTTATGATGTTAGTTTTAATAAATAATTTATTTTTTAAATCAAGGATATTTCTCTGGCATTTCTTTCTTTTTGCTGTATCATGTCGAACCGAACCGTGAATTTTGTGAACCGTTACACACCTACTATCAAATCTAGTAATTTAAAGGTAAATACAAATAAAAAATAAATCTCCCCAAAAAATTGGATTAAAAAATACAAAAAAAAATATTACCAAAATTAAATTAAATAAGCTTTCTGGAAAAAACAAACAACAACACATAATTTTAGGGCTTTCGGGTCATTTGATCCGCGAGAGAAAGATGTGTTACAAAGTGCGAGGGAAGGATGAAGGTTGAAGTTATGACCAGTTTTTAAAGAAAAATGTGCTACTGGCCACATAACTCATGACTGTGCTAAGGTCATTATTAAATCATCTAGCACAGCGTCTACTTTAGCACAAGCGGATCTCACCAGCTGCTTGTCCACGGAGGTTCTGTCGCTGTGTAAACTGTACAGCTGGTGTTTCAGCACCACCGGAGGGAGGCTGTCGTTGAAGAGTTTGCGTGAGAACAGTGTCATGAGGTTCTGCAAGCTTGAGCGGATATCAGCTGCTCCTTCTGCTGAACACACACCCTTATTTCATTACATCAGATTCACACATTTGTGTATGACTTGTTTTAACTCAGAAATAGGTTGTATAAAACGGACCCCCGGTTTCACAGACAAAGGATTAAGATAGTCCCAGACTAAAATGAACTGGTTTAACTGATATACCATTGTCTTGTCTCAAGAAGATGCACACCAGATATGTTGTTTTTTCTAAGGCACGTTTATAAAAGCTACTTAAATGCCCTAATTGAACTAAAGCCTAATCCTGGCTTAATCTAAACCCTGTCTGTGAAACCGGAGCGGAGAGTAGTATTTTAAGCCTGTAATAGCACGTGTATCGCACCATATTAATATATTTACATACTTTAAGATGCTTGAAAAGTCATTCAAATAATTACTGTTCAGAAAGTCATATGCGTTCTTACATTAGATTACAATTTTACTTAAAGTAGGGCGGGGCTTGATTTTTGATTGGATGGGTGTGGTTTGCTATTGGTGGATCTCGTGTGAGTGACAGGTGCTGTATTCCCCGTCACACTCACATTTTCACTAAAGCAGTTGGAGATTAAAGGTGCTCTAAGCGATGTCACGCGTTTTTTAGGCCAAAACATTTTTTGTCACATACAGCAAACATCTCCTCACTATCCACTGGCTGCCTGTCCCCTGAACACACTGTAAAGAAACGCGATCTCTGTAGACAGCCCAGGCTCCACAAACAGCAACAAAAGCAAACTGCGGCGACCCGCTCCCCGAAACATAACAAACTGTTCCAGCCAATGACCGACAAGAAGGGTTTGGGGGCGGGGTTTGGGGGGTTAGTGTGCGGATGAGGAGGAGGGAGGGTCTAGCTAGCCTCCGTTTTGTTTGACAATAGTTCGAACGTCAACAAGAAGTGATGTCACCCAGGATCGCTTAGAGAACCTTTAAACAACATTGGCCGAGTAATGGTGTACGAAATCAGTGACATTAATTGCATGAATCCATATTTATATCTGGAGCCTAACAGAAGTAATATTTTAAGGAGGACAGACGTTAACTGACACATTATTACTAATAATGTCTATTTAATGATAAGTGTTTTTGATCTGCATGAGGGTAAATGACAGATCTTACCGTGACTGCCTCCGGCAACAGCGTCAGCTGCGGATCTGCGTCTCTTTAAGCAGAAAGTGTCTGCGATCAGCGCTCGCTTTCTGCTCATTTCTCACTATTTACAGAGAACATTTGAAGAGTTTGGTTCCAAAACGCAATAAATCCATTTAGATTAATTTGAGTAAAAATGTGTTTTCTTTACCAAGAAAGTGGAAAGATGAAAACCACTATTGTCTGTTTCAAACTTGCACATAGCATTTGTAGGTCATAATAACAAAAAAAATTAAAATCCAGGTTTTGATTTTCAAAGATTTATTATAAAAACGGATTATTTTTTTCCCCAAAATGCAATAAATCCATTTAAAAAAAAAATCAAAATGCAATTAATCCATTTAATCAATATAAAAGTTTTTTTTTTCATATTGAAACTGTTGAAAATACACAACAACGTAAGTTTATTAGTATAATATTTTTATTAAGAACTGTAAAGAAGATTGAAAACATTTTTCCTCCTCCCGACTGCCTCATCTTCTTAATCTCCTCACGTAAATGATTCGATTTCGATGCCTTACGTTTCTTACCCACCGCAGAAACAACCACAGGTTCATCAATGCCTCAAAACTATTCATTTTTTTGTTTGTTTGTTGATCGAAAAGTACAAAATCGATAAGAAAACTAGGAAGTCGGGTGTATTTAAAGCGCTTCCGTTACTGTTTACATTGCGTGGAATGGTGCGTTGTGATTGGTTGAGAGCGGATATATCGCATTCTGCAGAGAAGGGAGACTGACGTTTGTCGCGGTTTGGAAAGAAAGGGAGAAAACATGACAGAATAACACGGCGGATATCGCATTTTACTTAAAATTAAACATTGACTTTTAATACCAACCAGATACAATACTGATTTTTGCAGTAACTAATTTTTTTCAAAATGGCGTTTATCGCGTTTTGGAACCAAACTCTTCATTTATCTGTTTACTCTCATGTTGCTGCTATATACTCTCTTAGAAAAGCGCTAAACTGTCTTTACATGTCACATTTCCCTCCTGAATTGACTCAGATCGAAACACGGGTTTGTTCTCAAGAATATATTTTAAGAAACTCTACTGTTGTAACTCGAGTTCGTATGTGTGTTCCACAGACAGTTCATCAAACACAACAGCTGACTGAGACTCTTCCTCGTTGGTTTTAGGATGAATGAGAGCATCTGCTGCCCTCTGGCGGACTGTTTAAATATATATTTTTGAGAAGAAACCTGTTTCGATCATAGGCTGTAAATCTTTCTCCAGTTATATTGCTACTGCGAGTTTGTTAGCGGTTTGCGCCATAGATATCATATAGAGACTAGATGCCCTATTGGCCGCTGGAAACCGAGAAATCCGGCCGCCATCTTGAACCGGTCGTATTCCTAGTTCCCTTTCGTAGTCACTCCGAGTTACGTCGGATGACGGAGAATGGGGGTTTCGCCAGAAAGCCAATCCTCTTCGAGTATTAAAAAACGAGCCAATGGCAAAGAAATGCCATGGGTCTGCGGAATTTGCATAATGTATCTCCGCCTCACTGCGTGAGTATTTAAGGAGAAACACCTGCAACAGCAGATCATGTTTTCGCTTCGGAGCCAAGAGAACCTCTTCACTCCACAGCCACATCTGAGTTTACAAGTGACTCACCTCTTCGAGACGAGCGAACTCTCCAGTGTTGGTGTGACGGCGGTACCCAGCGAGTCTTCACATTGCCTGCGATCTGTGCAGTGGTCTGCCTGACTTTGTGTTTTCTCCCTGGTCGCCTCAGCATTGCAGAGTTTTTCCTCTCCTAAAAGAGCTGCACGTGGCACGTCTTTTTAAAGATGTCTCGCCCGTGTTCTTCTGGTTGCGGTCGATATTTGTCATCTTCTGATGGGCACGAGCGCTGCTTTGTGTGTCTGGGCTTTGATCACGCTAAAGCAGCGCTCGTGGATGACTCATGTTCCTTCTGTGGGAACATGGCCATCGCAACACTAAGATTAAGACTCAATGATCTTTCAGTGAGAGTCCCCGCGTCCACCACCCGTTCTGCTTCCTCCACGAGAGGTGGTAGTTCGGCTGGGGGACAGGGTGATCTGAGGGTGACGGTGTGGAGCAATCCGACGATGCGTCCTCGGACCACGCCCCCCTCCGCTGTGTTGCAACCCGCGAGTGCCGCGGTGATTCAGGCGGGCTCTTCTTCGGAAGCCCCGCGTGTTTCATTCGGCGCTCCAGAGGATGACGCGATGTCGATCGCGGCATCACAAGGTGGGCTTGAGTCTTCAGGAAGTGAGGATGCGGCCTCCTTCGGGAGTCCCAGCGTTGCCCGTATCGGATCCTGAGATGACAGCCATGCTGTCCCGGGCAGCCGTGAGCATCGGGCTAGAGTGGAACCCTCCGCCCTGCCCCGAGCGCTCGCGGTTGGACGATTGGTTTTTGGGTGCGGCTGCCGCCTCACGGCCTCAGCCAACCCCAATTCCTTTCTTCCCGGAGCTGCATGAGGAGCTGTCGAGATCATGGAAGGCTCCTTTGACCTCCCGTGAACGCTCGTCAGCTTTCTCCGCCTTTCCTCCCCTCGATGGCGCAGCTGCCCATGGGTACACTGGGATTCCCCCGGTGGAGCGCTCTGTTGCGGTGCAACTGTGTCCTCAGGGCGCCTCCTCTCGTGGCAATCCTAAGCACCCGTCCAAGGCCTGTAGATTCTCGTCATCTATGGTGGCGAGGTCTCACAGAGCTGCAGGACAGGCGGCTGCTGCCCTGCATGCGATGAGCACCTTGCAGGTCTACCAGGCCCAGCTGCTCAGAAACATGCACGAGGGCAGGACTGACCCAGGGACGTTCGACGAACTGCGTGCCGCCACTGACCTCGCTCTCCGGGCGACGAAAGTGGCCTCACGCTCCCTGGGTCAGGTGATGGCCACTAATGTGGTCCAGGAGCGTCACCTATGGCTGAACCTGGCCGATGTGCGGGACGTTGAGCGGACTCGTCTGCTCGATGCTCCCATATCCCAGGCCGGCCTCTTCGGCGGAGCGGTTGAAGACTTCGCCCAGCAGTTTTCAGCCGCACAGAAGCAGTCTGAGGCGATAAAACACTTTCTGCCCCGACGGCCAGCTGCTGCCACCCAGCCGTCGGCACAGACGCCTCAGCCTGCTCGCCGCCGAGGGCGCCCTCCCGCGGCTCCCGCCCCTCCCGCACGGCCCCAGCAGCAGCCTTCACCGGGCCGCGTCGTGGAGGAAGCCGCAGGAAGGCGCCCCAGCCCCCTCAGGCCCCGCGCCCCGCTAAACGCCAGGCCAAGCGGCGCTCCTGAGACGGGCTGCTCAGTGATGGTGTCGGTTTTTTCCCAGGAGGCGGTTGCAGGCCCCCTCCTTCCCCCGGTGGAGGGCCGGGGGAGAATCTTTTGTTGTTTTAAAGAAAGAACCGAAATGTCCATCACTGAGCACACAGAGCTGGATGACAGTGCGCGACGCCCCCGTGCCTCGCCACTCTCGTCCTCCTCTGTCTCTGAGGGCGAGGATGACAGTGCGTGCCGTCCCCGGACCACACCACTCTCATCCCCCTCTATCGCCAGACCCCTGGCAGAGCAGACCCCCGTGGAACGCTGGTCCTTCCCTGGTCTCCTCTGTCAGGGGAGCTGCAGAGCTTGGCTGTGCACACGCTCAGGGCCGCTATGCCACCCTTGCCTGTGCCGGTCACTCCGCTCCGCTGCCCCTCCGGGGGGACGCCTGTGGCTCGGATGATTCCGCTGGATCAGTTTTTGGGGGCTTGGTTAGAGCTCCCCAATCTGTCCCGTTGGGTCGCCCGAACTATCAGGCTCGGCTATGCGATTCAGTTCGCACGGTCTCCTCCCCGCTTCAGGGGAGTCCGCTTTACTATGGTCGGTGGCAATGCCCCGGTCATGAGAGCGGAGGTTGCTACCCTGCTGGCGAAGGGTGCAATCGAGGCTGTCCCTCCAGCCGAGATGAGGTCAGGGTTCTACAGCCCCTACTTCATTGTCCCCAAGAAAACCGGTGGGTTACGGCCAATCCTGGACTTGCGCGTCCTGAACCGCTCCCTTCACAGGCTGCCGTTCAAGATGCTCACGGCCAAACGCATTTTCGAATGCGTGCGGCCACAGGATTGGTTTGCAGCGATAGACCTGAAGGACGCCTACTTTCATGTCTCCATTTTACCTCGACACAGACCGTTTCTTCGGTTTGCTTTCGAGGGGCAGGCATACCAGTACGCGGTTCTCCCATTCGGGTTGGCTCTGTCTCCTCGCGTCTTTACGAAGGTCGTCGAGGCAGCCCTTGTTCCCCTACGCGAACACGGGGTTCGCATCCTGAATTATCTCGACGACTGGCTAATATTAGCTCACTCTCGAGACCAGGTTTGCGAACACAGAGACCTAGTGCTCCGGCACCTAGCCCGTCTGGGCCTTCGGGTCAACTGGGAGAAGAGCAAACTTTGCCCCGTGCAGAGGATCTCTTTTCTCGGTATGGAGATAGACTCGGTCGCCATGTCCGCGCAGCTTACGAGCGAGCGCGCACACTCACTGCTGACTTGTCTTCGACAATTCGAGGGCAAGAGTGCGGTCCCACTGAAACTTTTTTAGAGGCTCCTGGGGCATATGGCATCCGCAGCCGCGGCAACGCCACTCGGATTGCTTCATATGAGACCGCTTCAGCTGTGGCTTCGCGATCGAGTCCCGAGGTGGGCATGGCATCGCGGTACGCTCAGAGTTCCAATAACTCCGACCTGCCGTCAGACCTTCACCCCGTGGCGGAACCTCAGCTTTCTACGGGCCGGAGTCCCCCTAGAACGAGTTTCCAGGCATGTTGTCGTCTCCACAGATGCCTCTGCCACGGGCTGGGGCGCCATGTGCAATGGACATGCAGCCGCGGGCTCCTGGACAGGACCCCAGCGCCTCATGCATGTCAATTGCCTCGAGTTGCTGGCAGTACGCCTTGCCCTGCACCGCTTCCACGCGCTGCTCCAGGGTCAACACGTACTCGTCCGCTCGGACAATACCGCGACTGTAGCGTACATCAACCGTCAGGGTGGTCTACGCTCTCGCCGTATGTCGCAACTCGCACGCCACCTCCTCTTATGGAGTCAGAAGCACCTGAGGTCCCTTCGTGCTATTTACATTCCAGGAGTACGGAACCTTGCAGCCGACGAGCTGTCACGGCTCCGGCCTACCTCTGGCGAATGGCGACTCCATCCCCAGTCGGTCCAGCTGATTTGGGACCAGTTCGGGGACGCACAGATAGATCTGTTTGCCTCCCACGACTCATCCCATTGCGCCCTGTTTTACTCCCTGACCGAGGGCACGCTCGGCACGGATGCACTGGCGCACAGCTGGCCGCAGGGCCTACACAAGTATGCGTTTCCCCCAGTGAGCCTTCTCGCACGTACTCTGTGCAAGATCAAGGAGGACGAGGAGCAGGTCATATTGGTCGCCCCATACTGGCCCACCAAGACCTGGTTCTCCGAACTGGTACTCCTCGCGACAGCACCTCCTTGGCCAATTCCTCTGAGGAAGGACCTCCTTTCTCAGAGACGGGGCACCCTATGGCACCCTCGTCCCGATCTTTGGAGACTCCACGTGTGGCTCCTGGACGGGACGAGGCAGGTTTGAGTACCCTGCCACCAGCGGTGGCGGCTACCATCACTTCCGCTAGAGCATCGTCCACGAGACATGTCTATGCGTTGAAGTGGAACCTCTTCGTCAACTGGTGCTCTTCTCGCCGAGAAGACCCCAGGAGATGCTCGATCAGCGTTGTGCTTTCTTTCCTGCAAGACGGGTTGGAGCGAAGGCTGTCTCCCTCCACCCTGAAGGTGTATGTGGCTGCTATCGCCGCATATCACGAAGCAGTTGAAGGTAAGTCTCTGGGAAAGCACGACCTGATCATCAGGTTCCTGAGAGGAGCGAGGAGACTGAATCCTCCTCGCCCTCCTCTCGTTCCCTCTTGGGACCTCTCAGTGGTCTTAAGTGCCCTGCAGAGGGCTCCCTTTGAGCCTCTGCAATCAGCTGAGCTTAAGATCCTGTCAATGAAGACAGCGCTCCTGGTTGCACTGGCCTCCATCAAGAGGGTAGGGGACCTGCACGCATTCTCCGTTGACGAAGCGTGCCTGGAATTCGGGCCGGCTTACTCTCACGTGATCCTGAGACCCCGGCCTGGATATGTGCCCAAGGTTCCCACCACTCCCTTCCGGGACCAGGTGGTGAACCTGCAAGCGCTGCCCCGGGAGGAGGCAGACCCAGCCTTGGCACTGCTCTGTCCAGTACGCGCTCTCCGTGCTTACGTAGACAGGACGCACTGTTTCAGGACCTCAGACCAGCTCTTTGTCTGTTATGGTGGGAGACTGAAGGGAAAGGCTCTCTCAAAGCAGAGGTTGTCTCACTGGATAGTGGACGCCATTGCTTTGGCTTACCAACAGCAAGGCCGACCGTGCCCCCTTGGTGTGACAGCCCACTCCACCCGGAGTGTGGCTTCCTCTTGGGCTCTAGCGCATGGCGCCTCGCTGGCAGACATCTGTAGAGCTGCAGGCTGGGCGACACCCAACACATTCGCCAGATTTTATAATCTCCGAGTGGAGCCTGTGTCCTCTCATGTACTCGCTTCAACCAGCTAGTACCGGACCCGCTCAGGTGTCTTCGCTTGCTCGCCATTCCACTCCACGGACTGGATACGTGCGATATTTCCTCAGGTAGCCTTCCTCTCTGAAGCCCTGAGTTCCTCCAGCACTGTTGACGCTGGCGCCAGTGTGTATTGCCTGTGCGTCGGCTAGGTGCCTCCGTGTGCTTGGTTCCTCCTCTGAGTAACCCCCACATGTGTATTTTCCACTGTAAGCCTCTTTGAGCATGTGTCTTTCCCTCGGCAAGTCACCTGCCACTCCTGGAGTTGAAAGTAGATGCCACCCTACGGGCTGGTCACTCCAGTGTTCCTCCATATGAAGCCCCCTCGGGCCATATGTGTATTCTTAAGTCCTCCCTACGGGTAGGCATGCTGCGGCATATCTCCCCTGAGATATGCTTCCCAGTGTACCTTGGTATTCCTGTGTTAGTAGGACTCCTTCGTCCGTGCCTATATCACGACAGGGAGGTCAGACTTCGCAGGGCACTGGAAGACAGCTGTGAAGGTGGCGTGATTACACGGGGACCCCCATTCTCCGTCATCCGACGTAATTCGGAGTGACTACGAAAGGGAACGTCTCGGTTACGGATGTAACCCTCGTTCCCTGAGTAGGGAACGGAGACGTTACGTCTCCCTGCCACTTCCGCTGTACCGCTGGGTAGACGCCTGAGTTCAGTCTCGGCTCCTCAGCGAAGACATGATCTGCTGTTGCAGGTGTTTCTCCTTAAATACTCACGCAGTGAGGCGGAGATACATTATGCAAATTCCGCAGACCCATGGCATTTCTTTGCCATTGGCTCGTTTTTTAATACTCGAAGAGGATTGGCTTTCTGGCGAAACCCCCATTCTCCGTCATCCGACGTAACGTCTCCGTTCCCTACTCAGGGAACGAGGGTTACATCCGTAACCGAGACGTTTCGTTGCGTGGCAGCAGATAAGATGCCAGAGCATTGTGGAGCATTTTCCTGTTCTAATTGTCGGACCATCGAAAATAGGGCTTTTCACAAGTAAGTCTTAACATTACCGTACTATTGGTTATATTTTGTGAATAGAATATTACCAGATAATCAAGAAGGAGCAAGGATATTTGCTATTACTGTACTGAAATCGTTGTGAAATGCTGTTTACATCAGCCGGTGTTCACCCGGCATGGAGAGGTGGGGTAACTGTTAAAGTAGTTATTACAAGAGCTTCTAGGTTATCAGATTAGCATTCAACTGCCCTGTTGTATAGCTAGGTTATTTGTGTTTGCGCATGTAACAGGAGACCAGTTACACGCACATGATATCAGGAAGCAATGTAAATACAAGCATTACAGCGATGCGCAAATTGAGTTACCCCTCCAACTTCTAGTTTTATTGATAACCTATATCTTATCACATGCGATTTGGCTATTGATATTACAGAAGTCCTGTGGTAAAATTACATTATTAACTTACTCCATCTACCCTTGTAAAGTTAATCCGAATAGGGCTTTAGTCTCGACATTTTCCCCTCCCACATCCACATACAATAAAAAAGGTATAGGCTTAATGTTGTCCGAATTTAATTTTTTAGAAATTACTGATGCAAACACGTTGAAAAGCTTCTTCTCAATTTTTATTACAGGTGGCTGCGTTCGGTGGATTCGGTGGCTGCGTTATGTGTGTGAAAGTGTGTGTGTGTGTGTGTTTCTCTTCGTGTTTGTTTGTGTGTCTGTTCGTGTGTAAGTGCGTGTCACAAATCATAAATTGTTTCTTCAACTTATTAAAATATCTTACTTTACTGCAACTATCTGTTTCTGCTTCTTTATTATATTTATAGTGTGTGATTTATAAAATACATTATATCCTTCATCACACATATTGTGTCTGGTCACTTTATATCTTATATCAGAATATTATATTACTGTTAAGCCTACTATGGATATTAAAATACGCCGAACCATGTGTCCTGTATCATAGCTACATGAATGACCTTTGCAGCAAAAAAAAAACGCGTGAAAATCAGTTCAGTATTCAGTGAGATATGATTAATTTAATGCGCTGACAGCTCATTTCACCTGCCTGAGCGGAGCGGATGACCGGTTTAAGATGGCGGCTCCAATTCTCGTCCGTGCCAATAGGCAGTAGCGGTCGATAGGGCGTCTACCTATATGATGTCTATGGTTTGCGCACCCCTTGTTTAAATTTCCCGGAAGTGATGTAGACGATGATGCGTGGTTTACGTCATGGATGCTTTTTAATAATAAAACCGATGAAAAACAATATATTTCAAATAGTGTACCCCAAAAAGGTGAATTGTTTAACCCTTTCTTTCGAATTAGGTTTCAAAACTCTTATTATTGAGTTCTTAAAATATGATTTTAAACATCTGTTGTTCCATTGGCTGGTGGACGCTTGTGTTGCATCACGGGAAATTGTTCGCCACAAAATAAAAATAAAAATAAACTAACACAAAATAATACTTTTTTGTTTCTGTTGCTGCTGCTATTAAAAGCTTGATTAACAGCGAAACTTTAACATGAATCTTCATCCAGTTGCCGTTGACTCGTATGGAGTGACGTGTCCCTCACCGTCACCGAGACTCGTGTTTGCTGAAGTCACTCTCCCTTACTCGCTGAGTAACGCATACTTACCTGGCAGGGGTGACACCATGATCATGACGGTGGTTCTCCCAAGGCGTGACTCAGCCATTGCACTCTCGGCTCTGTTGACCCTTGCAAATTCCCCAAATGTGGGAATCTCAACTGCAAAAATTATGATAGTGGGGGACTGCGCTCGCTCTCTCCCCTGATATACTGGTCAACAATGAAATGGCATGATTTTAAGTAATAGAATTACTTTTATTTACATTTGATGTGTGATTGGTTTACTGTCTTATTTTCTGCAAAATAATCGAATTATAATGATGTTACATTTGCTGGGTTTCAGTTTTGTCATTATTTTTATTAAATGTTTCTGTTGCAAAAATGAATATGTAGTTATGAATAGCTATTTGATTATTTGAATGGATATGGACATTTCTATGGGTTCAGTGATACTAACAGAAATTGTTAATAAAACGTCACTATAATAATCACTCGTTCCACTCGTCACGCAAATGTAATACATAATTGAAAAACAGCGGTTTATCCCATGCATTTATGATTATAAAATGCTGTCAAGTGTATATATTAGTTTGTTCCCCAATAACAGGAATACAGCTCTGAACTGTAAACACTGCTTAGTTTTCTTAATGCTTGAAATGTCTTTCAGTCTGTTATTGTCTTGAAATCAATATTCTTGTAGTGACTTTATTTTGTTACAGCGGGTTACTGAGTTTATATACAAAATACTTTTATGTTTTACATTTTTCTATGTATTGTTCAGTGTTTTTAAAGCATCCCAGTTGCATAGATTAATAAAGGACCAATGTATCTTTACTATGTAGTTCATTATGTAAAATACATCATTGTACATTAGACGATGCATGGCCTAATATGGGTGAGTGTAAGTAACGTGATTTATGAATTGACAAAAGTCTCGACAGACTACAGTTGTAACAATTCTGTGCTGTTCATAGAAGTTGTGAGAATTACACAATATAACTAATAACTTTATTACACTGCTTTAAAACAGATCACCATCAACAATAAATTTATGAAAGCCATGATTAGTTGATTAAAGTTAATTCATATTGTACAAAAGGAACTGTACTGCACTAATTACTATTACGATGCCAACCGTTTCAGAGGGTCGATTACCACATTTTGATGTCCAATGACCACGAGAGTAATGAAAGGCAAGCAATTGTACTAAATTGTACTATTTACTCTTAATATTGTTGAACGACAATAATCAAATACACTGTGTACATGTTCACCATCAAAGGATTACACAAATGCAAAGAAAATGTACATATGAAGAACGTAGGCCTACGCAAAACAATAAACAAAATAAACAATGAATTGTTTCAACAGATTTGAATTTCAAGGATACAGATGTTAGCTGGTCTTGTGATTAGGCATTGAAACAAAGATTGCAACAGTCCGTGTAGTCTCTACAGTTCTTTAAGATGTTCAGATGTCCAGCTTTGTGACGTTGGTCGTCGAGCTGCAGTCTCAGGCTCTGATGTAACGTTATGGTGAATCCTCCGCGATGATAAATGCAAGTGTATAATCTTGGATGTGTCCTACTGAATATTTATCTCGCTAATATATGATTCCCAAATGTGGTTCTACAATAAACAAATAATGTAATCAGTAACATAAAACTGTATAGATGTACAATTAACATGGCAGAAATGCTGAGACATTACAACTCTATAATGACTGATCACGTTTGCCACTATCAACATAATATTTCACACAATCAGGTAACCGTACTCTCATATAACATAAAATAGAATGTAGCAGCCATACATCAAGCTTAACAGTGAATAAGTGACACAATAATAATAATATAATGAATACTGAAATGTAACTCACAATCTTCAATGACGCACATTCAAGAATCGTCACTATGGAAACTTCAGCACGAAGTTTAATACCATCCGCTGCCAATCAAGAGCACAAATATTCGATTCTGCAGTTCACAAAGTGAAGGCGCTGCAGAAAGAGATTTTAATCCATCTGATTTCACTGCTTTACAGGTAAGATTACAGGACCTCAGCTTTCCCTCAGGATCCGAACGGAAAAAATATGATCCGCTTTCGCGCGAACTCAGATTAAGCCACGCCTCCTCACATTCAAATCAATGACCAACATAATAGCTGCACAGCCTTTATACTAAATGAACACAAACTGAACATGGGCTTTTTTACACATATCATCATATTTAAAGGGATACTCCACTTTTTTTGGAAATAGGCTCATTTTACAACTCCCCCAGAGTTAAACTGTTGAGTTTTACCGTTTTTGAATCCATTCAGCCGATCTCCGGTTCTGGCGGTACCACTTTTAGCATAGCTTAGCATACATCATCGAAGTGGACAAGACCATTAGCATTTCTAAAAGAAAAATGACCAAAGAGTTTCGATATTTTTCCTATTTAAAACTTGACTCTTCTGTGGTTACATCGTGCACTAAGACCGACGGAAAATGTAAAGTTGCGATTTTCTAGGCTGATATGGCTAGGAACTATTCTCTCATTCCTGCGTAATAATCAAGAAACGTCACTGCCGTACCATGAGAGCAGCAGGCGTAATGATATGACGCAGCGCCTGAAAATAGGCCACCTTCCGTCAACACAACGGAACTATTTTCAGGCGCTGCGTCATATCATTACGCCTGCTGCTCTCATGGTACGGCAGTGACGTTTCTTGATTATTACGCAGGAATGAGAGAATAGTTCCTAGCCATATCAGCCTAGAAAATCGCAACTTTACATTTTCCGTCGGTCTTAGTTCACGATGTAACTACAGAAGAGTCAAGTTTTAAATAGGAAAAATATCGAAACTCTTTGGTCATTTTTTTTTGAGAAATGCTAATGGTCTTGTCCACTCCAATGATGTATGCTAAGCTATGCTAAAAGTGGTACCGCCAGAACCGGAGATCGGCTGAATGGATTCAAAAACGGTAAAACTCAACACTCAAAAAAATGATATGTTGTCTTTACTTAACTTTTTTTTGTAAACAGGTTCCACCGGTTCCACATAACTATGTTTCGTTAAACAAACATAATATGTTCATGTACCTTCAACATCATGGAATTTGGTCATTTTAAGCGACCCAATTAAACTCTGAGCTAATGAGTTAATTAAGTGAATAATTGAGTGATGATTGAGCATTATTGAAGACAATTATTATTGCTGAGATTCATATGCTGATTCTTGATGTCTGTGTGTGCCTACTCTAAATATTTTTTAGGAAGTTTCTTTTTTATTTCTTGATTTGGTCATTTGAATTACATTGAAAAATCTAAAAATAGTATTCTCTACAATGACAGTGCTGTTATTATCCATAAGGTAAACTTAACTCAGAAATTCGGTTTAATATAAGTTCAGTGACTCAGGTCAAATGATTGTGAAATAATTATTATGTTAAAACACAACAAATACCATCAGATGACCTTTGTTTATTGTTCATCCGGCTGTTATAACTCATGTACAGCAACCAAACAAAATCTAAAGTTAATAAGTTAATGGTCAAGAGCCCAACTAAAACGAATACTTATCTCCATAATGGTGACTTAAACATTCCGGTTTTCTCCTTCAGAGATTCTGCTTGTTAACATCAGGTGTCTTCAATAATGCTCAATCATCACTCAATTATTCACTTAATTAACTCATTAGCTCAGAGTTTAATTGGATCGCTTAAAATGACCAAATTCCATGATGTTGAAGTTACATGAACATATTATGTTTGTTTAACGAAACATAGTTATGTGGAACCGGTGGAACCTGTTTACAAAAAAAAGTTAAGTAAAGCCAACATATCATTTTTTTGAGTGAACAGTTTAACTCTGGGGGAGTTGTAAAATGAGCCTATTTCCAAAAAAAGTGGAGTATCCCTTTAACTTCTGAAAATATGCATTGTATGTTTTTGTTCATAAGTTGAGGAATATGCTATTGTTTAATAATGTGGTATGTCAGATTAAATGCATAAATTAAGTTTTAATAAGGGGTACAATGTAATTTAGAGTAGTATGAGTCAGATATGATATATTAGGTTATATACTGTACACTCAAAAAAATGATATGTTGGCTTTACTTAACTTTTTTTTGTAAACAGGTTCCACCGGTTCCACATAACTATGTTTCGTTAAACAAACATAATATGTTCATGTAACTTCAACATCATGGAATTTGGTCATTTTAAGCGACCCAATTAAACTCTGAGCTAATGAGTTAATTAAGTGAATAATTGAGTGATGATTGAGCATTATTGAAGACACCTGATGTTAACAAGCAGAATCTCTGAAGGAGAAAACCGGAATGTTTAAGTCACCATTATGGAGATAAGTATTCGTTTTAGTTGGGCTCTTGACCATTAACTTATTAACTTTAGAATTTGTTTGGTTGCTGTACATGAGTTATAACAGCCGGATGAACAGTAAACAAAGGTCATCTGATGGTAGTGGTTGTGTTTTAACATAATCATTATTTCATAATCATTTGACCTGAGTCACTGAACTTATATTAAACCAAATTTCTGAGTTAAGTTTACCTTATGGATAATAACAGCACTGTCATTGTAGATCATACTATTTTTTTTTTACTTTTCAATGAAATTCAAATGATCAAATCAATAAATAACAAAGAAGCTTCCTAAAAAATATTTTCAGTAGACACACACAGACATCAAGAATCAGCCTGTGAATCTCAACAATGGTGACAATTATAAAGCATGTTGTAGTGCATTCTGGGTGCCACCAATCAAAACTCATTCATGGCTCCCATCATGCATTGCTGCATGAATAAATAATGAGCTTATGATCTGTTTGTCACCATTGCTGAGATTCATATGCTGATTCTTGATGTCTGTGTGTGCCTATTTTAAATATTTTTTAGGAAGTTTCTTTTTTATTTCTTGATTTGGTCATTTGAATTTCATTGAAAAATCTAAAAATAGTATGCTCTACAATGACAGTGCTGTTATTATCCATAAGGTAAACTTAACTCAGAAATTCAGTTTAATATAAGTTCAGTGACTCAGGTCAAATGATTGTGAAATAATTATTATGTTAAAACACAACCAATACCATCAGATGACCTTTGTTTGTTGTTCATCCGGCTGTTATAACTCATGTACAGCAACCAAACAAAATCTAAAGTTAATAAGTTAATGGTCAAGAGCCCAACTAAAACACACACT